ATATATATATATATATATATATAGATAAATAGATAGATAGATAGATAGATACAAAGATAGATATAAAGAGAGAAGGGGGAGGGAGGGAGGGTGGAGAAATCCAATTTTTCTATTCAATAACTAATATTTTACATTAAATTTTGATGATCAAATTATTTAATTAAAAATTCTTAATACATATTTAAAAATCATGTAATACTTTATTAATTTAAATTAACACATAAAATGTGTTTTATGATTATCTATTAATTTAAATTAATAAAATAAATTATTTAATAAATTTTATTTTTTAAAATAATTTATAAACTTGATTAATACATTAGAAACTTTTAATTAAACGTTTAAATTATTGAAATTTAATGTAAAACATAAGTTATTGAGTATAATAATGAATAAGTGAATTTCTTTGCCCCTCCCCTCTCTCTATATACATATAATATTTTAAGCTTTTAAATACACTAAAACTTTTTCTCTCATTTTCTTCTCAATTTGGAGTAAAAACAAAATGCATGGGCCTATATATAATATTTTAAGCTTTTAAATACACTAAAACTTGTTCTCTCATTTTCTTCTCAATTTGGAGTGAAAACAAAAATGCATGGGCCTACATAAAACTTTATTTTCTTCCATCCATTTCTTGAAGAAACCAAACTAGGGAAGAAATCATCTTTAAATTTTTTCATTTGTTCCTCACTTCCTCTCCCTTCCTTTTTTTTTTTTTTTTTACCCCTCTCAATCCTATTAATGTTTAATAAATAGCTTAATTATAGATAAATACTTATTTAATTTCTGTATTAAATGAAGGTTTATTTGTAAATTATTTAACTTTACATTAAAAGAGATAAAAAAAATGTTATCAATTTAAAAGTTTTCTATGAATTATTTTGAAATAATAAATTAAAGTTATATAAAAGTCACAAGTTATTTTGTTATGTTTTAAATAAAATTGTCCAAATTTTTTTTGGTTTAAATACATGTATTAATAATTTAATTTTTTGTTTTTATATTATCATCAAATCAATCGCAAGTTGTCATATATATATATATATATATATATATATATATATATATATATATAAATATATTTATTACTTAAATATTTGTCAAT